TTGAAAAAAAACAGCTGTCCGGATACTTTTGGCAGGCCGGTGTATAATTATGAAATTTATTTTTGGATGCAATTATAGGAGTATAAAAACTGTGTGATAATTAGTAGAGTGGTGGATCCGTTTAAAACCTATCCAGATATCCGGATATTTAATTACGGATATACGGATAATCCGTTCACGGATAAACGAATATCATGTGGTTTGGTAATTATTTTTAGCCTGATGAAGAGTGGCCCTTCTCACAATTTCAAGATTAAAGGAAATTGGTTTTTTTCATTTAAGTGTTAAAACTGTGAAAACCGACAATCCATGGGATTAAATTTTTGGGTAACATAAAAGATGTCATATGCTCACATTTTAGTATTAAAACAATTTTATTTGTCTATTGAAATATATTACTATTTTTTACATATTAAAATATGACAATTTACACCTTCAAAAAATGAAATTATTATTATAATTTTATGTATTTCTTGTATTTTTCAAATATATCACAAATAAATATTTCATATTCAAAGATAATAGTTGAAAAATTGCCACTTGGATATAAATATTCAGATATTTCTTTTTATTGAAAATTTTATTGTTTTATAAAAATTTTGTCCATTTAAACATGCATTTCATATTTATTTATGAAATTTGATTATGAAGTTTAATTAATTTATTTTGATGCAATTATAGAAATGGAACAACTGTGATAATTAATAAAATTCGCGTCATCATATTTTTTTTTTAATTATTGTCACAATTTCAAGATTAAATTTACTATTATTATTATATCAATTATTTTATTTTATTAAATTTATTTATATTTCAAAAAAAAAAAGGATGCAAAACGAAAAACGAAAGAGATGATTTATTTTTCATTATAATGTATATTTTATTATATAATTTATAAAAAATCGAAACGATTCTTTAAAGAATTAAAAGTTTTTCATATATTCTTTCATTTGCCTATTTATAATTTTAACCCATTTAATAAAGATAATATTGAAGTGGAAAATTGTTTGAATTATAATTTTTTTTTGTTTTTTTCCAATAATCAGACAATGTTAAGTTTGTGAAATTAAAAAAAACTCTTAGAAACAGAACAGCAGAGCAATAGAAAAACTTAAATATCTATAATTATACTACTTCAGATAAATTCTACGTTCATTAAATAAGCTTAACTTTCTGCGCATATACATACATATAATTGTTAAGGCTAAACAATAAACGCCATATTCATGCTCAAAAATAAAATAAAAAAGGTACTTTTTTTATTTTCACTTTTCGTTTAATAAATATTTTCTCTTCTTAAATTAGAAAAATTAGAAAGACAAATGCGTTATGAGATGTCGAAATTATTAAATTATTCTAAAAATAATCTAGTTACTCATACCTACATTATAATATTTTAAAGGTTAATAATGAAATCGAATGAATTAATAAACAATCATCGTCGTTTAGCCTAATGTATGGCTAGCTTTATATGCTCTATTTTTTATATACTTTTTACGATTATAATGACACCCAGATTCTTTTACCAATGTTAATGAGTAAAAAAGTTTCACTCATTGATTTTAATTTACGAGTTTATTTAAATACTTTAATTAATTGTATATCGTAATAAAATTGATATCATTTACATATCGGATCGGATATAACCATATTTTATCACCAAAATATCATGGATAACTCTGATATATCATATTTTGATACTTCATATGCAACCCGGACTTTTGCCATAATACAGTAGTCGGTTTAATTATTTAAAATTCTAATATATCCTATCCTATATTTAATATGTACTGTATATATATATATATGTCGAGTGAAAGATGTAAATTACATTGAAAGGAGGTATCAGATGATTAAAAATATAAAAATTATGAAAATTATAAAAATATGGATGGAAAAATAAATGAACAAACAAATAAGGAATTAATAAATCGAATATCTTCTATATTATTATAAAGTACGTACTGTTACCTTAAACTTTGTAGAAGGATGATTGTGACTAAAACTTAAACTAATTACTTGGGTACAATATATTTATAATGATCGGATTTGATAAAAAAAATAAAAAAAATTATTATTATTATTATAGTATGTACTATTATTATTATATTATTTGTATTACTATTATTATTATTATATTAATACATTATTATTATAATTTATCAATCCATATCCATTTTATCTGAAAAAAACAAAAACACATGCCGAGCAAAATACCCTCACCCATACAAAATATCCACCGGGGCTTTTGGCGAATTACTGTATTTACAAAATACAATACAATATATGGAATTTAGTAAAAAAAATTTTCGTTGGAGATTTTTTAGTAAAATATTAATTTTCATGAAGGGAACGATTGATATACTTGTATATAAAATAAAAAATTTTTTCCCAATATATTTTCTTTCAAGTTTTATCAAAAGACTTAAATTGAAAAGCTTTCTTTGATTTTTTAAAATGAAGAAGTAACGATAATAATAACATTTGTCGCTCAGTTTTCGGGTACAGTAGAAGGAAGTTTTATTAAACATATTTCCAACTACATTTGGTGCGACCCACTGAGAGACTGACTAATTTTTTGAATGCGGCAGCTAATTTATTTAATAAAATTAATTAATGAAATAAGATTAGTATAAATATATTATAATATGTGTGTATAATAAAAAAATAAATTATAATAATACTTACGAGATAAATCAATAGAATTAGGATCACATCCTTCACAACGATCCACAATTTTAACAATAACAGATTTTGATCCACGAGTAACTTTTACACGCTTTCCACACTTTGTGTTCCTATTCGGATTACCATTTGGAGTATATTTATCAAACTGAGCTTTAGGTAATGCACAAGCTAATTCATTATCATTATTGTATGTTCCGCAAGAACCCAAACCGAGGTTGTACCAAGTCATATCACCGTAGTAAGCTCTTTTAGAAAGATTGGAAGTAATATTTTCATTAGTATTACCAATAGGAGCAGAATTAAAAGAGTCAATAGTGAAAGTCAAGAGAACGGCGATCACCATAACGAGGAACATGAATCGAGAGCTGGTGAAAACTGAGGACATTTTTTTATGTTTTTAATTTGTGGTATAATAGATGTGTTCAAAAAAAGAAGACTTTAAAATTATCAAAATTTTAAAGAAAAGATGATTTTTTTTTAATTTTTAGGAAGGAGTTGTTGTTAAATCAAAGCACGCTTTGAATTTAATTACTGGTAAAAGGAAAAAAAAAAGAAATTATTTTAAATACAAAAGTTCGATGAGAGAATGTGTTGTTTGAAAAGAAGAAAAAGTTCTTTTTTTTTTAATGATAATAAAATCTTATGTTGCAAATTTATTAAGATTTTTTTTTATTGGTTTTTTATTTTAAAAAAAAAAAAACTTTTCGTTTTTTTCAAACGTAAATTTATTTATGTATTTGACAATGCTAGCGTAGTTGATTATTAATGGAAAACGAAAAAAAAAATCGGAAGACAAATTTTTCGTCGTTTATATAGAGAAAACAATTGTAGATAATCAAACGATCTAACATAATATATTAAATATACACGAACAATGAATTTTTGTAATCAGTTTGTACATTGTTGCTTTTATTATTTATTTATTCTTATAACTGCTTATTAATTGATGACTAAGTAAAGAAATAATTTATCCAGTAAGAAAGTGTGAAAGTTCATTGTGATTTCAAAGAGAAGCTTTCAACGGAGACATGTGGTGATTCAACATATTTTGTATAAGGAATTAAGAATTTCTGAATTTTAAATGTTTACGTTTGACATCTAAAAAAACCTTCCATCAACAATCAACACAATATAAATAAAGTATATAACATCAATAACAGATAATAAATTTTTATTTGTTTTTAAATCTATCACACGTTTCAGGTTAGCCATTTTTGGGTGATAAATACGCAGCCATGTAGTATGGATCAAGATTTTTTTTATATATCTAATATGGTAATATATAATTAATAAAAGATATGATATCAATAATTTCGATGCTTCAAACATTTACAAATGATATTAATAAATGACTAGTAAAGAACATATTAAAATATTGAATTGGTAAAAGTCATTGAACTATTGAAAAATTATTTCATATTTAGGGTAACTAAAGAATTTTCGAAAGTATCTTGACATTCATCCGGCATGAATTTCAGTTCTTTTTTTGTTTTTAAGTTATAAAAATTTTGTAACAAAATTGTGTCACCAATTTTATCATTCCAACTGCTTAAATTGAACAATTGGACATATTGTGGCGCAGTTTTACAGGTCCAATTGGTCCAATTGCCAGGCAACTAGCTAATTGTGACACATAAATGTTTTTTACTCCATATGTTACATTAAATTTAGTTTAAATTATTTAAATTAATAAAGATTTGAATTTTATTATAATACCAAAATAACCATTAATTTATGAAAATTCTTAATCTATGTATTATGAAATATATTTATATGCATTTATGAAGCCTATTTATAGAACGTAAATCTTCTTGAGTGATAGATGTAATTACATTGAAAGGTATTAAATGAGATGAATTATGAATTATTAAAAAATGAAAAATTATGAAAATTATGAATGAGTATTATGAATCGAGATTGTTAAATTACACCAGTGGTGTTCTACACTCGTGATTATCAACCAATAAAAATGAAATACATGATGTCCAGGTGATCGAAATTATATTATTTCACGTGTTATAAGTGTTGGATGACAAATATTCTAGAATATCTAATAAAAATTGTTATTCAAAGGGTGTGACGCACGGTGATAAATACATTACCCTTGAAAACCCTAAACCTAACCGCTGTGATATAAAATAAGGTGTTCAACACCATAAAGTTTTCGTTATGAATTATTAAAAAAATGAAAAACTATGAAAATCATAAAATATGGAGGGAAAAATAAACAAACAAGGAAATTAATAAATCAAATATCTTCTACGCTTTTTTTAAAAGAATAAAAAGATAGGAGATAATAAAAAATTCGTCGCTTAAATATATTTCCAACTACATTTGGTGCGGCCCACCGAGAGACTGGCCAATTTTTCGAATGCGGCAGCTAAATTATTTAATAGAATTAATTAATGAAATACGATCAATAAATATATTATAATATGTGTATAATAAAAATAGAAATAATAATAATACTTACGAGATAAATCAATATCTCCAGATTTACATCCTTCACAACGATCCACAACTCGAACAACAACAGATTTTTTTCCACGAGTAACCTTTATACGCTTTCCACATTTTGTGTTCTTATTTGGATTACCATTTGGAGTATATCTATCAAACTGAGCTATAGGTAAAGCACAAGCTAAATCCCTATCAGTATTGTATTTTCCGCAAGCACCCAAACCGAGGTGGTACCAAGTCATATCACCGTGGAAAGCTCTTTTAGTAAGATTGTTATTAATATGTTCATTCTCATCGTTAATAATAGGAGCAGAATTAAAAGAGTCAATAGTGAAAGTCAAGAGAACGACGATCACCATAACGAAGAACATTAATCGAGAGCTGGTGAAAACTGAAGACATTTTTTTATGTTTTTGATTTGTGGTATAATGGATGTATTCAAAAAAGAAGACTTTAAAATTATCAAATTTTAAAGAAAAAGTGATTTTTTGATTTTTTTTAGGAAGGAATTGTTGTTGTTAAATTAAAGCAAGCTTTGAATTTAATTACAGGTAAAGGGAAAAAAATAAATTATTTTGAATACAAAAAAGTTTGATGAGAGAATGTGTTGTTTGAAAAAGAAGAAAAAATTCCTTTTTTTTAGTGATAATAAAAATCTTATGTTGCAAATTTAATAGGATCTATTAAATTTTTTACTGATTTTTTTTATTTAAAAAAAGATCTTTTCTTTTTTTTCAAACGTAAATTTTATTTATGTATTTACGTAGTTGATTATTGATGGATGGAAAACAAAAAAAAAAAAATTGGAAGGCAAATTTCGTTGTTTATATAGAGAAAACAAATTGTAGATAATCATATATAAATCTAAAATAATATATTAAGAGAATAATAAATTTTAAGAAATATTCGCGAACAATGAGCATACATATTATTGCTCTTGTTTTTATTTCCTCTTCTAGCATTAATTAATTTATGACCAAGTAAAGAAATAATTTATCCAGTAAGAAAGTGGGAAAGTTTATTGTGATTTCAAAGAGAGGTTTTCAATGGATCGAATTTGTTTAAGGAATTAAGAATTTCTGAAAATTAAATGTTTACATTTGACATCTAATCAATAATAATCAACAATCAACACAATATAAATATAGTATATAATATCAATAATAGATAATAAATATTCATTCATTAAAATAATTTCGATCAATATATTCATTTGTTTCTATTAGAGACATCTAATCAATAATAATCAACAATCAACACAATATAAATATAGTATGTAATATGAATAACGGATAATAAACATTCATTAAAAAATAATTTTAATCATTTGGTTTTTATTTCCAATTAAATCTATCACACGTTTCAAGTTTATCCATTTTGAGTGACAAATACGCAGCCATGTAGTCATATCAGGTTAAATGGGATTTAAAATTATCAAAATTTTTTTAATATATCTGATATGGTAATAAAACTATTAATATCATGTCATTAATTTATTTCGATGTTTCAGACATTTACGATAATGACTAGTAAAGAACATATTAAAATATGAATTGATAAAGGTTATTGGACTATTGAAACATTATTCAGAATTAGGGTAACTAAAGAATTTTCGGAAGTATCTTGACATTCATCCGGTATGAATTTCATTTTTTTAAATAAAGTTATCTTAGTTCTTTGTTGATTTTTAATATATCTTGTCATCTTTATTTTTTTTGATTTTTTTTTCAGGAAGTATCTTGTCATTCTTCCGGCATGAATTCGAATTTCTTGGCTTTTTTTTTTAATAAAGTTCTTTTTTGTTCTTTGTTGATTTTTTTGTTTTTAAGCTTTAAAAGTTTTATACGTGTCACCAAAGGACAGTGGGTATCAAAAGCCACCGGGCAACTGGCTAATTGTGACACAACGAATATCAAATTTTTTTATACTATGTTTTTGTTGAGAATTACCGTACATATACATAGTTAATATACGTATTTTCTATTGATTATATTTTCATATTTTATTAATTGATTTTATATTATTTTTTTTTATTTATGAAATTTAATTATGAAATTTATTTTTGGATGCAATTATAGACCTATCCGGATATCCGGATATTTAATTACGGATATCCGTGATAAAGCTCACGGATAATCCGTAGATTAAAGAAAATTGATTTTTATTATTATTCTTATTAAACTTTGTATTTATTATTTTCATATTTTATTTTTTTTGTTATCAATTATTTTGTTTATTAATTTATTTATATTCTCAAAACAATGTAGCATGTAAAAACCGACAATCTATGGGAAGAATTTTGTGGTAACACAATATCATATACTCACATTTTAGTATACATATTATTATTAATTGTCACAATTTCAAGATATTATTATTATTTCATTTTAATGTATATTTATTATATAACGATTCTTTAAAGTTTTCAGCACAAATGGGTTAAAATTATAAATAATCAAATGAAAGAATATATGAAAAACTTTTAATTCTTTTCTTAAATTATCACCATAAGTAATTATTGTGAACAGTACTTAATAAAGATAATATTGAAATGGAAAATTGTTTGAATTATAATTTTTTTGTTTTTTTTTCAATAATCAGACAATGTTAAGCTTGCGAAATTAAAAAAAACTTCTAGAAACAGAATAGCAGAGCAATAGAAAAACTTGAATATCTATAATTATACTATTTCAGATAAATTCTACGTTCATTAAATAAGCTTAACTTTCTGCGCATATACATACATACAATTTGTTAAGGCTAAACAATAAACGCCATATTCGTGCTCAAAAATAAAATAAAAAAAGGTACTTTTCACTTTTCGTTTAATAAGTATTTCTCTTCTTAAATTAGAAGACAAATGTGTTATGAGATGTCGAAATTATTAAATTATTCTAAAAATAATCTGATTACTCATAAATATAGACCTACTTTTCACGACACGATTATAATACTCCAGATTCTTTTACTGATGCTAATGAGTAAAAAAATTTCACTCGTTGATTTTAATTATTTAAATCGCAACATATCGGATCGGATTAACCATATTTTATCACCAAAATATCAATGGATAACTCTGATATATCACATTTTGATATTTCATATGCAACCCGGACTTTTGTCCTGTTTGGCGTTTATGTAATTTGGTTATTTTGTATTATAATCTTAATTAATTTAAATAATTAATGTATCAAACAAAAATATCATTTATACAGTTTATAAAAATTCTAATCTATGTATAATATATCCTATCCTATCCTATACTTAATATGTATATATATATATATGAAATATAAATCTTCATGAAAAAATAAAAAAAAAAGTGAGTGAAAAAGGCGTCGAGTGAAAGATGTAAATTACATTGAAAGGTATCAGATGATTAAAAATATGAAAATTATGAAAATTATGAAACAAATAAGGGAATTAATAAATCGAATATCTTCTAAATTATTATAAAGTACAATACAATATATTTTTGGTAAAATTTTAATTTTTCATGAAGGTGATTGATATACGTACTTGTATATAAAGTAAAAAATTTTTTCCAATATATTTTCTTTCAAGTTTTATCAAAAGACTTAAAATGAAAAAGCTTTCTTTGATCTTTTAAAATGAATAAGTTATAGCGATAATAATAACATTTGTCGCTCAGGTTTCGGGTACAGTAGAAGGAAGATTTATTAAACATATTTCCAACTACATTTGGTGCGACCCACTGAGAGACTGGCTAATTTTTTGAATGCGGCAGCTAAATTATTTAATAAAATTAATAATGAAATAAGATTAACATATAAATATATTATAATATGTGTATATAATAAAAGAATAAATAATAATAATACTTACGAGATAAATCAATATCTCCAGATTTACATCCATCACAGCGATCCACAACTCGAACAACAACAGATTTTTTTCCACGAGTAACCTTTATACGCTTTCCACATTTTGTATTCTTATTTGGATTACCATTTGGAGTATAAGGATCAAACTGAGCTTTAGGTAATGCACAAACTAATTCATTATCATTATTGTATTTTCCGCAAGCACCCAAACCGAGGTGGTAGTAAGTCATATCACCGGTGAATCTTTTAAAAAGATGAATTTCAGTAGTATTATCAATAGGAGCAGAATTACAAGAGTCAATAGTGAAAGTCAAGAGAACAACGATCACCATAACTAGGAACATGAATTGAGAGCTGGTGAAAACTGTAGACATTTTTTTATGTTTTTGATTTGTGGTATAATAAATGTGTTCAAAAAATGACTTAAAAATTATCAAAATTTTAAAGAAAGATGATTTTTTAAATTTTTTTAAAAAAAGAAACTTTTCTTTTTTTTCAAACGTAAATTTTATTTATTTAACAACGACTAGCGAAGTTGATTGTTGATGGAAAACAAAAAAAATTTTTGAAGCCAAAATTTTCGTCGTTTATATAGAGAAAATATTTAAATTTAAAATAATATTAAGAGAATAATAAGTTTTAGGAAATATACGTGAACAATGAGTATATGCATTGCTGCTCTCGTTCTTTATTTGTTCTTATACTATTTATTAATTACAAGTAAAAAAAAAAATTTATTGAGAATCATCCAATAAGAAAATGTGAACTGAAAAGATGTTCTACGAATAAAAATATTTTGTTTTAAGAATTTCTGAATATTACTGTAAATGTTTAGGAAAGTTCTATTTTACATTTAACATCTAATGAATTTTCAATTAACATAATCAACAATCAACACAATATAAAAATATAATATAAATAAATATACATTTGATAAAATGATTGAAAAAATTGAATCGATCAATATAAAATCTTCTATTACACGTTTCAAGTTATTCATTTCGACGCAGCCACATCGGCTATTTACTAAATAGGATTTAAATTATCAAGATTTTTTTTTATATATATGATATGGTAATTTATAATTAACACAAGATAAGATAATCATTTTCAGGGTTTCAAACATTATTCAGTAATTAAAATCTTCGGCACCAATTCGAATTTCATGGCTTTTTTTTAAAAAAAAAAAATAAGTTCTTTTTTTGTTCTTTGTTGATTTGTAATATATATTGTCATCATATGGATTTTTGTTTTTAAATACAAATTGTGCCACCAAAGTAACACCGAACAATGTTTGTTGCGATGCAACTGTCATTATACCAAATATTAACCCAGGTGTGTAAATAGAAACATAGAATGGTTCAACTTTAGAAAAATCCGAAACCTCCTTTACTGTTTCATAAATCTATTATATTATTATCATTATTCGATTGGTTACGAATGATTTCTCCAATTATTTTAAAGGGAAATCAATAATTTACAAAATATTTATTTGTTGTTTTTCCCAAATATTCGTAATATAATATAATATTTGTATAATTATTTTTATTAAGGGCCCCTCTCTCGATTGTTATATTTATTGATATGACAAAATTATTATTAAAGATTCTTTTTTTCTTTACGATTTCAATTCCTATTTTTAGAATGTAATGTGGTATGTCAATAAGAATATTATGCATAACAATGTGCTTAATAGCACGTCAAACATCCATAAATTACCTTAAACTAATTAAGGGTCAAAATGTTCAAAGTTTCACAAGGGGTTTATAATCATTGAGAATCTAAATGACATACTATATATAGCTTTAAACATAATAAAATTCACGCAGTGACTTATTTTTTATTTTCTTCATTAGTAAATAATTTACAAATTATTTAAATCTTATCAATATTATATAAACTTGGTTTCTTAATTTGTCATATTCTTTAGGTTCGTTTATTATTTTCATTCTATGTGACGTGAAAGGTTATACATTAAGACATAATTCGATGATTAACTAATATCATATTTACAACGTTTATTCAATTTTTTGAAACCATATAAAGATTTTTTAAATAGTAATAATATTATTAATACTATTAGTAAGTACATATTAATATGTTTCATGCGTTGTGCGATGTCACTTTGTTAAATCAGGTTTAGTTACCCAGAAACATACGGTGCGTTAAAAAAAGTCTTTGGACAAAATCACGTGAAGAAAATTGATTTACCTATGTGCCAAATTAACATTAATTGATTATCATATCGATCTTTTTTTTTTGCACACCATAGTTTTATTTATGATTTTATTTCGAATAAAACAAATAAACAATGCATTCCTTTCTTTTGATTAGCTGAAGTAAGGCCTTATCATTATGTAAGAAAAAATGTGAATACAGATATGGAATTCTGAACTTTTTTTTTTAATTAAAATTATGGAAAATATACATATACTGTACATAATATTTTATTAAAATTCTTTATTTAGTATTTATTTAATGAATTAATGAATCAAATCATCTTCATCTAAATTTTCAGTGTATTACATCACGAGATGATCAGACATAATTTTTTATCATCATATATTTTATCCTGTACTTTTATATATTTTATTGTACACCAACCTGCCAAAAGTATCCGGGCAACAATTTTTTTGTCAAATTTTTAAAAAATTTTAAGGATGAATTATAGC